GGACCCTCTTCTCCTCCCTCGAGGATCTTGATTTTGCCCACGACCTTGCACTACTCTCCCATACCAACCAGCACGCTGGAAAAAACAAACCGACTCCACAAATACGGGCGCCAGATTGGGTTAAGAATAAGCCTGAAAAAGACAAGTGATGACACTGAATGTAGGCTCCCCAACGCTGATTAGGGTTAACATCGCAGACCTGCCTATAACAGACATATTTACCTACCTAGGCAGCATAATCAAAACTGACGGCGGCACAAAGGAAGACATCATGAACAGACTAGGCAAGGCAAGATAACACAGAAGCATGATCAACATCTGGAAGTCAGGACAGTTTACTATCCACACTCCTATATATGGAGCTGAATGCTGGAGGATGACTGATCATGACCGTGCCAAGCCTTCTTCCTTTCATACAACCAGCTTACACCAAATCCTCCGAATTTTCTGGCCCAACAAGATTTCCAACGCAGATATGTTACGAAAATGTAGGGAAGAGGACATGACCACCATTATAAAAAGGAGAAGATGTAGATGGATTGGATATGTTCTGAGAAGAGAACCAGACTCTATTGTGAAGACTGCCCTCCACTGGACACCCAAAGGACATCGCGAGAGGGGCAGACCCAAAGTGACCTGGAGATGCACAGTAGAGTCTGAAATGAAGTCCTGAAACCAATCATGGGGGATGTTGACTAAGATGGCCCAAAACAGATGGAGCTGGAGATCCTTTATTGCTGCCCTGAACACCAGATGGCGTAACGGGTAGTAAGTAAGTAACAATTGGGTTGTTGCAAAAAAAGTGAAAAAATGAAAAGTTCATGCTGTCTTAGCCCACATAATTACTGCAGTAGTCTCTGTCTAAGATCCCGGTGCTCGGGAGCAAGGAAATGCGGGATCTTAGGCGAACCGGGATCTTAACCGACGAACTCAGGGAAGAATCTATGGTGACCCATGCTCAGGGTTGGTGATTTTTTTGATTTTTTAAATAAAAAAAAAAAACAAAGATTTCTTTGATTTAAATCAAGATTTTAAAAATTTAAATTGGATTAAAAAAAAAATTTTTTTTGGGGGGGTAATTATGCATAGATAAACTTGCATTTTATTACAGTGTGTGTGTGCGCGCACGCTTGTGTTTGTCTAAAAAGAAATAGAAAATGCTAATTTCAATTATGAAAAAAAAAAGTAAATTGCTGTATTATTTTACTACTTACAATGACAGGGGGGAAAGCAGACTTTTAAGCATGATTATTTTAGTCTACTAAACCTTATATCTGTTTTATAAAACCAAGGAAAGGAATTCTGAATGTTTAAAGATATAAAAACAGAATACATTTTTTAAAGTGATTTAAATCATCACTGAGTTTTATTTTTAAAATCAAGTTGATTAAAAATTTTTTTTAATCAACTGATTTAAATCAACCCAACCCTGGTTTTCAATTATGGAAAAAAAGTAAATTGAGAACTGTATTACAATAAATAGGGTGGAAAGCAGACTTTTAAGCATGATTATATTAGTCTACTAAACCGTATATATCTGTTTAATAAAACCAAGGAAAGGAATTCTGAATGTTTAAATGTCATGTAAAAACTGAATACATTTTCTTAAAGTGATTTAAATCACTGATTTTTATTTTAAAAATCAAGTTGATTAAAATAAAAAAAATCAACTGATTTAAATCAACCTGATTTCAATCAACCCAACCCTGTTTCTCATACATTTTCCATGTATGCCAATCTTGTCTTTTAGCTTACTTCTGCAATAAACTTTGACCTGATTTAAATCAACCCAGCTCTCATTTCAATTATGGAAAAAAAAGTATAAATTGAATACTATATTATTTTACAGTGGAAGGGCAGACTTTTAAGCATGATTATATTAGTCTACTAAACCTTATATCTGTTTTATGAAACCAAGGAAAGGAATTCTGAATGTTGAAATATGTAAAAACTGAATAAAAATAATTTATTAAAAAAGTGATTTAAATCACTGATTTTTATTTAAAAAATCAAGTTGATTTAAATTTAAAAAATCAACTGATTTAAATCAACCCAACCCTGCCCATGCTATGGCTCACAATCGGTAAAATGGTCTCCCTCCACTCGAAAATGAACTGACGTAACCCTTTGGTGGGTTTATGACATGGCGAGCAAAGAGTGGTTAACATTGATGACCTATCACGGTGCATAGTGGGATGAGGCGTGCCATTTTCACTTATTATCCTATCATGAGTCTCAAAATCTACGCTTATCCATTTGCCCCTCCCCCTTACCTGTCGAAAGTTTATAGCTTTCCATCTCTGACCGAGTTCCCCCCTCCCCCCACCACCTTTGTTGTTACACACCATATTACGCTGTGAACTCACCAATTAAAATTCAGTCTGTCTCGCAAATTCGGGAGTAGAGACAACTTCTGCAATGGTCAGGGAAGAGTTCACAGTTCAATGTGATCCCGCCTGGAGCGAACGTGTAGGCCCTACCCACCCAGCAAGTGATGTTTAGGGGGAGAGCTCAGGTGTGAGTGCGATGTTCGGGAAAAACAAACGTGTCGGTCAGTCCACACCTCGGTGTGATCCCGTCTGGGGCAAACATTGTATTGCTTCATCGAGCTTTACAACATGCATATGATCACATTCACGATAGTGGCTGATCTTTGATGCGACGGACAGTTTATTGATCTCAACTTTTCGCTCTTGGTTGATCAGCTGTCTCGCCCGGGTTTTTGTTCCACAAATTATGATCTGAAATGCGGGATCTTAGCTGAATGTAGACCCTCGGAGTGAATCAGAGCGGGATCTTAGGTGTGGCTTTTGTATAGTAAAATTTATGTTTTCTTAAAACAGCGGGATCTTAAGCGAACCGGAATCGTACGTTGTGGGATGTTAAGCGGATACTAGTATATATTAATAAAAAATTCAACAAGCCAAAATTTAGAACTAGGTGTTGTTGGTATCCTGTGAAAGTTGCATTGAAATTGAACAAGAAACAGAGCAGAAAAATGGGATGTGTGAAAAAATAGAATTGTGAGAAAACAGCCGATAACGATAAGACAAGGCTGGAAAACATAGCTTATAGGGTGTAGCAAGGCTTACTTACTTACATTTCTGGATATTGTTCAGGAAATGTCTGGGTACTATAATATGTAATGACGCCAGTTTGCATAATTTGACCCCATAACACGATTTCTAGATGCCCCACCAGCCCTTATACTCCTTGCTACTAGAACTGTTGAACAGAGCTCCCCAAATAGTGAATCAATAGATCTAACTTCTATATTTACAGTCGAACCTGCCGTAACGGAAACCTGTCTTAACGGAATCCCCCCTCTCCCCCCTTGATATATTCCTCTTCAATTACCTGTATAAAACGTAAATCTGTCCAACACGGAAACGGAGAGAAAAATCCACTCCCTTCCGAGGGTTTTACCTGTCTAAGACGCAAAAAGCTCTGCCCGCTCAGCCCTGATTTGAAACAAAACTAGCAAGTTTGGTGGGGGACTCTCGTGGCCTAGAGGTTAAGGTGTTGGCCTCTCTTTCAAAGGTCCCGGGTTCGATTCCGGGTAGCGAATTCTCTAAAATTGTCTCCTTTCACATCCTTGCCTGATCTCTAACAATGTTCTGTTGTCTACTTTTATTTCCACTTTCTGCCCCCACCCCCTCACCTCCTTTGCACCCTCCTCTGGGCTCCTGACTCTTTCTGCAGCCTTTCTACTGCTACTCCTTGGCTCCTCCTAACTGCTGTCTTTCTGCCACATCCCTGATCTTCTGGTAGGAAAGATCTACACCTAGCCTTCTCGGACAATGGCGAAAAATCTCGGAGGGCCCGTGTGCAAATTGCGCACGTTAAAGATCCCTTGGTGGTCTAAAACCGATAAGAGTAGGCTTCGGCCGCCACCCGGGTAAAAATTCAAAATTTCCCACCAACTGAAAATATTAGGAGTGTCCCGCGCGCTCATATGACCTATGCAGTTGCGAGCGCCGTAAAACACTTTACAAAAACAAAAAAACAAACAAGTTTGGTTCCGCCGGCTCTAAACTTAACGCCATGCTGCCGGGCGAGGAAGGGGAGTAGGGGTGCAATTTGAGGATAGATGTTACCCCATGTATGTGAACCCTGAGCCATGAAGATGGTCAGGGTAGTGTGGGTGTGAAATCTCACGAGTGCCAGTGAAAGTGCTCCAGTAGCTAGCCACTATGGAAACTTTCCTGGGTAGTCAGAGGCCAGAGGTGTGAAATTAGCTTGACCAATGCCTGCCGCCCTATTCGTATGGCCAGCTGAGAAAAGGGTTCCTCAAATTGTTACATGGCAGTGAGGGGTGGCATTGGTTGACTGCTTGTTACACCAATTTTTGGGCATATGGAGTTATTGGTTATAATCTCAAAACTTGTTCATTTGTTTTGCTTATTTATGAAAAAGTATCTACCTATCTTGAATAGAAGAAGTTGAGATGTAAATTGTGTTTGAAGGAGGTGGGGGTTGCCTAGTGTCAGAGGTAAAAAATATATGAGAAAACGGTTGCCAAAGTTTGGTCACTTCCAATACTTGAGTGTCCTTGGAAACTGCAAGTTTCTCTTTTATGTGGGTGTGCCTTTGATGAATGTTTCTTATGTAAAATCTACACAGAAATGTGTTTTAAAATTTACTTAAGAGCTACTGGCGTTTGTCGCTTGTCACTTTGTTGTTTGAAGACATGAATATAGTATGATTATGATTGTCAACTGGTCCTATTTCGATTAAGCATAGACAAAGGCCAGAGTGATAATCAGGAAACAAACCAGTAAGAGCAGCTATGTGTAAGAACATATTTTGTCTTCTGATGACCCGGTTATAACTTATTTGGTGAGATCACTGTAACATTATCCTTTTGCTACCTCAGCCTGAAAAAATGTTGAAGTAATAGTAATTTCATATTAAATTTCTTTCTTTATACTCAGAACCTGTTATTGTTTTATGAGCATTTTACTTAATGTCCTGTGGTATATTTTTGAAAAATTTTTCAGTGGAAGTCGCAGTAACAAAACTTTCAAGCCAAAGAAAAATATCCCTGAGGGTACACATCAATATGACTTGATGAAACATGCAGCAGTCACCTTAGGTAGTGGAAATTTGAGACAGGCTGTGTCGTTACCTGAAGGAGAAGATCTCAATGAATGGGTGGCCGTCAACAGTAAGTAATATTGAGAACAATAGTATTATTTTGCTGATTTTGTGTTCAGTTATTGCACAGTATTTTTTTGTCTTGTAAAAGCATTTTAAAATGTTCTTCCAAATATTTTCAGTGCCTTTTGCCACTTGCTTCTGAAGTGTAGTGTTAAGTGGTAAAGTGGCACGAAGTCTACCTCTTTTCACCTTTTCAAAACTGGAGTTAGGCTGCAAATCCAGGGCAATAAATGGATATTTGTAATTTGGAATCGTAGCCACAATTTCCATGGATGTAATCCCATAACTCAAACTTAAATTTTGTTGTTTGAACCCTTCAACTAATGCCATGCAGTAGGAGTAGGGTCGCAAGGTTTGCTGCAGTTGCTTTACTTAGAAGTGTTATGAATGTGGGGTTGCAGGGGAAGATGTTGACTCCTTAATCTCTCAAGGTAACGTTGAGTTATTTCACAGTTTGATGTTACACATGTTACATTCTCATTGTAAGTGCGAATGTAAAGTGTTCCAAAAAATGGAATGTTTCTAGAACTACCATATTACTTTGTTGCTTTATTTCAGTCATGCGTATAACTATGAAGTATTGCGTGTTCCAGAAGAAATATGTTCTATTCTTCTACAAATTGTTGAATACAAATTACCAGCTTTACATTTTTACACCTTTTCCTGATCAAATATCAAAATAGGGAGGTCAAATGCAGCAAAGAAAGCTCAAATATTAAAATAAGTCAAATTAATTCAACATAGAGAATTCAAATTCAACACACTGGAATACGTAAGCAAATGTCTGCTCAAGTGTAATCACAAGAGAACTCAAATGTAACACTAGGGAAATCAAATTCGTCATTCATTGTCAGTTCAAATGCTGCACAGGAAAGTTCAAATTCAACAATACGAAAAACTAGGAAGCTATGACGTAACCATCGTCTCCATGTCAGGGGAAGCTACCCTGTCTCTTAGCTACGTTCGTTGTTTACTGTTCACCTTTCTCGCTTTCAATACTCACCGTCTGCTCTCTGGATCTAGATCTACACCTTTTCCGGATTAAATATCAAAAAGCAAGTTCAAATGCAGCAATGAAAGTTCAAATATGTCTCTTAGCTACATCATCATGTTAAGCATGCCTGACCAAAAATCAAATAATGCAAAAAGTCAGTCTTGAAGATTAATAGAGAATACCGGAAGGCCTATGCGGGAGACTTTCTGTGAGGTGACATTTACATAATGCTCACTAAACAGTTGCAAATCAACCGAAATACTGCATATAGTACTGTACGCCGAGCAATCGGAACTGATGACGTTGTTGAAAAGAGATTTGGGAAAGTAACCATGGAAATAAAAGATGAGCAGGTTTCGATAGCCGAAAGCCACCCAGATTACTCTTTCAACAAAATAAAAGCAGGTTTTCAAATGGCTCTACCTTCCTCATCTTGCATTTGTTGCTGCGGCTACTTTGAACAGATTGTGAGAGAGAGGGGGGTGGGATGGGTGAAGATAGACACAGAGAGAAATACAGAGAGAGAAAGAGGGAGACAGAGAGATACAGACAGACAGACAAATAGACAGACAGATAGACAGAGAGAGAGAGAGAGAGAGAGAGAGAGAGAGAGAGAGAGAGAGAGAGAGAGAGAAGGGGGGATCTACTACTACTTGTATCTGACCTGCAAGCAGTTCATAAAGTCGTAGAACTGGCCGTACGTGAAGTGGCCCCAGTGGGTGGCCACCGGGTGTATCCGGTGCCCCATACTGTTGTAAAGAATGCGGGCGTCAGCCAGACCCATCATTATGACGTGACTGTTGTTGGGCAGCGTTGCATGCTGTTACGTGGTTGGATAAAATCGTCATAGTTATGATTGTGTCACAAAAGACCTCAGTCAAACCGTGTGTCTTCCATTTATTAGTTTTATTATAACTACAACTATAAAAAAACAGAGAAATGCCCAAACTCTCCCATACATACAAATCCAACCAGTAACATCAAATTAAGTAACATCTCGTTCTCATCCTGTCTAACTGGGTGTATTGATTGTCAAAGGAAAATAGAATTATCAAGTCGCAACATGGAAAAGCAGTACTGATTAACATACTTCCTGAGTGTTAATCCACGAGAAATATAGTTCCAGACACACTGTTTGCCCCCAATTAAAGTAATTTTAGTCCCCCTCCCCTCCCTTTCCCTCTTCCACCCTATTTCGGATTGTACTTGAACTAATAAGTACATCCGGGGTCCTCATATTTGGGTGGACGTGGCGTCGTGCGGGAAAGACGATTTTAATTTATTTCAATAATGGGGGGCAAGGAAAGGAGCAGAGAAATGAAGAAGTTCATTGTTCATTGTTTCAGGAAGCAACATCCCTGCATTCCGGACATGTCCATTGATGTTCTGTTGCTCTCTCCAAAATGTCGCTGAGGGTCTTTCCACTGATTGTGCCCGTGCACATCTGGTTGAACGTTCTTCTGTTCTTTCCTGCAAGGATGCCAGATTTTCCGCTTCCTTTTTGTATTCCCAAAAGCATCAT